CCTAAATCTGGATTCACTAATGTCTCTGTTTCAACATTATTAGCACCAGCGGGCAGCAGTCCAGATAATGAGTCCAGTCCATTATAATGGGTTGCGAGCAGGCTGATCGCGGAATAGCATCACATAATTAGTTTGTCTATAAATAGATGGTTATTACCTCAACCGTCCAGGCGCTGCTCCTGTGTACTGCAGTACCAGACCATACCCCCCGTGAGTGTCCATAACCTAGCTAACTAGCGGACAAAGGTTTTATGTAAGACTTGCAGATAGGAAAAAGTAATCCGTCATGTAGGTCTTGAGAAGGATAGTACTGAGTGTGGACTATGGGTCCGCCCGGCTTGTACCGTGCTCTTGGTAGATTCCGTGTTACATAAATGTTTTGATTGTACTGAAAAGAACAGCTCAAAGATGGGGGGTCGAGCCTGTCGCAAATGCACGGTAAGCAGAACCTCATCAGCAGGTGCGGCCGGCCGGCTCGTTAGTGGCTTATGTTGCACATGGACATTGAGTTACGTCAGTTAAGATTAGATTTCACTGAACAGATGTTGATTGAGATAGCATCATGTAGCAATTCATGTTTTAAAACATAGCATGCCTGTCATGTAAACCAGCCGCATTCAACCTGCACTGAAGTCTTCAGAGATGTTCATGTTGGATTCATGTTCATGATGTTCATGGATGTTCATGGATGTTCATGTTCATGATGACTGCACCCACTCAGAAGACACATTGTTCCAAAGATGACTCCAACGTAGGCACAGATCAAGAAAATGTAGCCCGGGTGTGTTCGAGGCCTCGAGGCAGCGGCACGCTATGTGTAACGAGTCTTAGCTTTCGGTGAGACAACAAAACGATGTAGTCTACGTGAGTTGCAAAATTCAGTGTCGAGTTGAGTTAAGCTGGATTGTTTCCGGTGAAGTGAAGCAGCTGCGAGTCTCTGCTCAGCGCTCCAAAGTAGCGGCGATCATTGAAAGGCGGTCATGGTGCCAGATACACGGTAGCAACATGCATTAGGCAGCTATGTAAGTAGATACCTACATTGGGCGCGATTTAGCTTCTGGAACAACGTAACGTTCAGTCTAGTAGCTCAGTCTGCCAAAGCGCCTGTGGTCCGGAACCCCAAGGACCGCGGCGGTGGATACTTGGTAATCCCATCGTGGCGCAAAAATCTGCTGACATTTAACGCACCCGAGTAGCCTTAGCCATGCTAATTTTGGGCAGCGCCTAAAATTAATATGCCACCAACACGCGAAAAGATGATAAGAACCACATACATGCATGTAAGTCATGTAGGTATCATCCTCACTTTTCGTCCAACGCTTTTGCATCGCATCCACCCACCACCTGATTTGCGTTGTCAACATGATACCGCCTGGCGGGCGCCGCCCGGCCACCGTCAGGCGGTGTCGTAACCCTCGCTGGCGCCGCGGACAAATACTACCGCCGCGTGCACTCCATGCGCTGCCTTGGATGACCGTGGCGTGGCACTAAAGGGCTCATAGTGGAGCCGCGCTCATCGTTTGCAGCCCACACAGTCAGACCTGATTGCCGTCATTGTGAGCGGTCGGCGGCCGACGCGCGTCCAACAAAGCGCGCGCCTCGCTGCGGCGCCGGCCCCCGCGGCCGGCGCTGCAGTCAAAGCCGCGGCGGCCAGCCCCGGATTGCAGCCGGCCGAGGCCCGCCGCGGGCGCGGGCGGTCGGCGGTCGCCGCCGGTCAGCGGTGCTCATTGTCGGCCACTTAGGCGACAGAGCCCGGCGATCAATGTGTCACATGCCGCGGCCGCCGGACGAGCGCTGTGATTGGCCGAGATCGATGGGGGCGGGGCCAGCACGCGCCGCCAAGAATGGCTGGGCCGTCAAGTGAGCGTGTGACGTCACGCGGACGCGACGCAGGCGGCGGGACGTGGCCACTAAATCAGCGGCGCCGTCGGGCCGCATCCCGACCGAGCTGCCGCCTCCTGAATAGTTAATAGCGGTCAGCGGTCAGTGGCAGGGGGAGGGAGGGGAGACCCCGCCGGCCGGCCTGGTGACGCGCGCGAGCATTCACACCGAGCAGCCGCGGCTGTGCATGTGTTCATTTGTAGAGACGCACCACCGCACTGACACACGCACCCTAAAGCTGACTGTCATGAGTATGCGGTAACTAAGTGCTGGCTAAGCAGTTCTTAAACGTCTGCCTCGTCATGCCCGAAACTTGGAATTAACTACAAATAGCGTAAAGGGGGACAAAGCACAGCCTAAGCCATTCTATTATTGTACCACGCCGGTGCTTTGGATTACGTGGTGCATCTTAGGGCCCACACAGCACCCCACTTATGCCTCCCAAAATATCCATAGCCTTGGCCGAGAACCTAATCCGGCAATAACTGGTACAGCACGAGCCCTAAATGTACGCTGTTGATGTGCCATAATGATGTCACCTTCACTGATACAAAACAAACATTACTCAGCTGCACTGTGTCGAGTTTAGCTCCACTGGCCAAGTTCAGCACTCTTCTGGCATCTTCTGCTGGCATTTGTGCGTGTTTGACTGTGACACTAGGACTATTCACCCTATGCAGACTGTGCCAATTTATCAGACCGTGGAGCTCATTGGACGAATTTAATGCTTCCTGAACTGTTTTGGGATATGTGTTGAGGTAACTATAACATGTTATCTTTTCCAATATACCTTTCATCCCTCTCCAAACGGCGTTTTATTCCCGTAGTCAGGTCCCAACAATCCGTTCCCTGAAGGTTAAGGGATTGGGCGTATCATAAAGCTTTTGAAGGGATTTTCCGCAGTGAACAGGAAATTCTTCTCCCAACAAGCGACTGTTAATTGAGCTGGCAGAGTGTTTTTATGGGAAGGTTGACAATCTTAGACAAGACATTTTCCGGCTCAGCATCTTCAGGTGGGAAGGGTTGGCGGTGGAGGGGTGAGCAAGGGCGAGTGGGCCCGATGGCACGGCCGAGCCGACTGTTAATGGTACCACTGTCTGTCAGACCGATGGTACCGTGGGACCTGCCCTGCCAATCCCTCTCCCCTCCCCCCATCCCCCCCGACCCTCGTGCGTACATTTTTGACCTCAGGAGAGGCTGTGCATGAAAAGGTTGTTTGCTAGGCTTTCAAGCATATAATCACGTCTCAAAGGTCAGTCGACCTGCATCTCTACTTAATTTGGGGTTTACTGGTCGTTGCGATAAACCAGGTTTTTATTTCCTCCAGATGGAGGAATGTTGCTAGTGTTGCCCTTTGTCTTCAGCCGTAACTCTCTGGAGCAAAACGCTGACATGATAAAGTTTTGCATACAATGGAATATGGACTGAATGATGAGTAATGGAAATTTTGCAAGGATGGAAATCCCGCAATGGGTGCCTCGCGTTTACTGAGCCTCGTTTTTAGCCAAAACGTTAGGCAAATATTACAGTAAAAGGAGAGTTATTGGTGAAGCGGCACATGTCTTAAGTGGGTTTGGACGGTGTGGGACCATTTTGCCATTTTAAGGGTAATTTGTTTTGGGTCCAATCCTGTCATTGCTCTATAGAACAAACAAAGCAGCTGGATGTGGCAAGTGCATGAACAGCATGTCAAGGCAAGCTAGCTCTGACCGGTAGTTTGCATAACAAGCCCATACACAGCATGCACGTAAAATTTCTGAATAACGTAGAAGTACACAATATTAATTTCAAGAGACCAACTGGCATATTCTGCTCAAAAGAACTGGATACTATTAGCAGGTAATGAAGTAGCGTTCTGCTGTTGACCAGCAACGTGTAAAATGATCGAGAATTCATCGTGAGAAGGGTTAGGGCTTAAGGCGTCTCGTTGCGAAGTGTGCAAGGTTTCCCAGCTTTGGAAGAACGTGGCCTAAACGTGAGGATAAACCTGATTGGTATATTTGGTCTTATGATGATATATTTGGGATAGGATGACTCATTTTTCATTGTTCAGCGCTCCCCCCCCCCCCCCCACCCCAACTCATTTAGTGAAACTATGCCTCTGGCAGCGCGGTAAGTGCTATAGATGGCGCACTAATTTTGTAACAATTCAACAACACTGTACACTGCACTTAAAATAGCAATGACGGATTTGTTCAGAAAAAAACTGATTTCAAACGACTTAGCATGTAATTTCACTGAACCCTTAATTGAACGAATTGAGCCGAATTGAATTGAGCTTACAATGAAGTAAACGCCTTCTCATTGTTTGGTAAGCCAGTCCCCTGCGTCGCCAGTGACGGGGCCGCTCCTCTGTGTCACGGCAGCAATGTAAGCTGCTCCTCGTGTCAACAGCAGTGCGACTCGCGCGTCTGTGTGGCGTCAGCAATGTGTATTTTCTAACACGTGTACCTCAGTATCATCGGTCATCTGGGTTGTTCTTCTGTGCCGTTAGCCGTGTGAGCCGCTCCTCTGTGCCGTCAGCCGTGTGAGCCGCTCCTCTGTGCCGTCAGCCGTGTGAGCCGCTCCTCTGTGCCGTCAGCCGTGTGAGCCGCTCCTCTGTGCCGTCAGCAGTGTGAGCCGCTCCTCTGTGCCGTCAGCCGTGTGAGCCGCTCTTCTGTGCCGTCAGCAGTGTGAGCCGCTCCTCTGTGCCGTCGGCAGTGTGAGCCGCTCCTCTGTGCCGTCAGCCGTGTGAGCCGCTCCTCTGTGCCGTCAGCCGTGTGAGTCGCTCCTCTGTGCCGTCAGCCGTGTGAGCCGCTCCTCTGTACCGTCAGCCGTGTGCGCCGCTCCTCTGTGCCGTCAGCCGTGTGAGCCGCTCCTCTGTGCCGTCAGCCGTGTGAGCCGCTCCTCTGCGCCGTCAGCCGTGTGAGCCGCTCCTCTGTGCCGTCAGCCGTGTGAGCCGCTCCTCTGTGCCGTCAGCCGTGTGAGCCGCTCCTCTGTGCCGTCAGCCGTGTGAGCCGCTCCTCTGTGCCGTCAGCCGTGTGAGCCGCTCCTCCACACCAGCGCCCTGACTCCGAACCCATTCTCCGTCGCCAGGGCAACCTGTTCGGCGGGCTGGACGACAACCTACTGAGCCGCGCCGAGGCGCTGGCCGACATGGGCCGTCACGGCGCGCCGCCGCCCTCCAGCCTGCCGCAGCTGCGGCCGGACATGGTGTACGGCCACCCGCACCCGGCCATGAGCTCGCCGCACACGCCGCCGGGCGCGCGGCCTCACCAGATGTGGGATATGATGTACATGGGCGCGCCGCGCGCCGCGCCCGTCCCCTCCGCCAAGCCGCAGCAGGTGGGCGAGCCCCCGCGCGACCGCTGGGTAAGCTCGCGCAGACACGGGGCCCGGTGGCTGGCGCAGACGGCCGCGCTGCGGCGGCGGTTGGTCACTGCTGGTTGCTTGGTTGATGTGGATTGGCTCTGAGCAGATGGGTTTCGTGGTGGACGTGCGTTGTGTGGTTGGTGGCATTTTTGGTTTGCACAGTTTAGTGCTGGCTCGTGACTTCACTGTCGGTAGGCCATCGATTTTCCGGTCGCCCTCTGACCCTGGCATCGATGAGGTAACAGTGGGCAGGTGCATGAGTCCCCCACATCTCATCTATAAATCAGGCAAATTCCGAGTCTAAATGCAGGCTACCCTCCTCTACCAACCGTGAATCCTGCACCCGCCCATCCCAAACGAGGAAAATGTATTGAACAGCTGGGTGATGTTCCTATCACGCATACTCCAGGCGATTGTCGTAATGCGCCAGTGATCGTCTCTTCCTGAGCACTAGGTGCCTCACGGTTGTGGTCATATTCCTTCTATTCAATAGTTAACTTGTCCATGCATCGACAGTTTTAGTGTTCGTACACAAGAGCACACCTAGTCGGTGATTGGTGACGGTAATTAGTAAGTAGTAATTAATAACTCTTCTGACCTTCCCCCCCCCCCCCCACCCTCACTCACCCAGTTCCTACGCCCACGCCCCCGGGTACACCGAATCACGATGCGGTCCGGTCCACCTCCGCCTCCTCAACTCCGCGGGTCCATCCGTGCGCATTTATCATCCTCGAGGGGCTCCTTTCAGCCGGCCATTTCGCCGTTGCACGCCACGTGCACACCGCGGCGCGCTCGCCCGAACGGTGCGGCGCAGGCCGGCCCGACGCCGCCCCACCCGACGGCGCCGCGGCGCACGCACGGCTCTCCGGGAATTAATGTCCGGTAACGACGCCCGAGCGCCTGTCATTCGGCCGAACGACGCGTCGAACGGCGCGGAATACGACGCGACATGTGGAGCGGTGCCGGCGGCAGCGCCGACAGCTGGCGGCGCCGACACGGCTCCGAATATTTACACGTGCTCGCCTCAGCTCCGGGTCGGCCGCTGTGGAGAGCGGAGCAAGCAGTGAGCCGGGCAAACTCCGGCGTCGATAGTCGTAGCTTTGCGGTCGTCTGGTCAGCGCTGATGACATATCCGAGAACTGCAAACATTGCACTGCCACGTCTTGGCACAGTGCGAGACGGAAGGCCACTTGGTTGCAGGCGAACCTGCTGGTGTTTTTCCTCTGGGAAGTGAGTGACTGAGACAGGCTATATTTTCACGTCTGGATGAGCCGTCATCGATTTTAGTTTTGAAAGACTTAGGCGATTTAAGTGTGATAAAAAGAGTATGGAGTGTGTTGTCTACGTATCATAGCTGCATCGCGTTGTCAGCTTCCTTTATCGGTTTTTCGAAATGATTCATAAAGCTGGTAATATCCGGTTGATATGGCTGTTCATTGTTCAAGTTATGTTCTACTCCGAATACAGAAGTTTTTCTGAATGCTTCATCCATTCCGCGCCTATTTTAAAGGGAAGCGATCTTGTAGAAGGTGAGCTGTCCGTTATGTCACTGGTTGGGTGCACCATACGCACCCGTTGCTCAGTTCCTCCCTTTCCAGCACAGTTGTGGGCCTCGGCTTCATGTCCGACCTGTTAGAGCGATGGTAGTTTGGGCTGTGCACCTACATGCCCAATGGATAGTGTTTTGTGGGTGTGATGATAATCTCTCACTTCGAGCTTGATCGCCCTAACGACAAATAGCCTCAAATGTGGCACACTTAACCCTGTTAGCTGACTTTTGACCGTATTTATAAGCCAGTCCGCTTTTTTAAGCGCAGCCAGCCCACATATGGGCTGCCTTCTCACAGATCTGTCGGTTCAGCTACACGCATCTGCTGTGGACACGCGATGTTTCGATCGCCATCGGCCCTCCCAGGTTTCCGCTACCGCACTTCATTGGCAGGCACATATTCGTGAGCTTTACTCGCGTCCCACCACGCGGTGCGGGCGTTAGGCCTCGTTTATGACAACGGCGGCGTGTTGGGGTAGCTTTTGAGTGGTTTATTATTCACAAGCGTTTGAATGGCAGGTCGCTCCGCCTGCCCTTGGGCTCAATGGACTAATATGGCTTCCTTTCTGGTATGCGAAGCCTGGCAGTAAAGGCATACATTTCCTTTCTCCTCATTATTGATGTATCCTCTTGCAAGAAAGCTGACACCATCACCTCAAGCCATTTGCTAGTTTTTATACACGATTTGTTCATGTGTTGACAAATGCTGGTCGCCTCAGGTTCGCAAGGTCGCCTCAGACTCGCAAGGAACTTGCGGAAAGTGGGGTAGCGGCAGGTTTGTTAATCCATTTATATCATACCGCGTCATAAGACGAAGTTATAGATGATTTTTTCCTAACTGAGGTGTGCTGATAATTTGTTTGCTGCTATCGTGGGTGCATGGGTCCAGTGCAGAAACGATATGTGGACGGTAGTGCCGCATTAGTGCTGATTTGTTATCTGAAGACTCAGCAAAACGCTCAATCGCTTTCAATCGTCATTTCCCTCAAGGTCTCATCGTGCGTTTGCTTCTTGGTCACATCTTACCCCACCCACACCACTGGTCCTGCTTCTCCAGGTCGGCATTGCTAGCACAGATGGAAAGAGTGCATCCAGGCCATGTCCGTTAATAGGTCACTGAATTTGGGGAAGGTGTAAATCATGGTCGGGAAGGTCGGAACCCGGAGTGAGCGACCTCACCTGAAAATGACCCAGAACTCACGAATGACCTGAAAATGACCTGACCTGAAAATTGTAGTGGAAGCGTGAAAACACATCTTTTATTGACAAAATGGGACAAGATAACACTTTTCAAAATTGGAAGTAGCGTGTTCCACCCAGCCCCCAGTGAGTACAAGAATAGAGTAAGCAATCAAAAATATTTAGCGAACTAAAAATATTCGCCATGAGCTTCAAACCTGTTGCTAATTCACCTGATCCGGGCAGGTCTCTTTCCCCAAACCCCAACCGCAATTTTCAGGCCTCCGTGCCCACCATTCAGTCGAGAATTTTTGGCGGCTGGTTTCTGTAGGACATGATGCTTTCTGGGAGCTGTTGTAAGTGTTGGTGGTGTTTCAGTGATGTTCCGAAATGCAGACAGTGGGTGGAGACCCAGAGACCCATCGATCCATCAAGAGACCCACCGAAAAATGTGTCCATTTGCCTCGCTTTGCTCGTACTATGCCTGACATTGGTTTTCGTTGGCTGATGCACTATCAGATTCGTTTAATGTAGCCTTTCCCCAGTTCCACCGTGTGCAAAAGACGGGCTAGAAGAGGTATAGTGTATGCTTCCGCTTCAGCCAAATCGATTATATCTCTCACTCACAAGGCGTGGGGTTAATTTTGACTGTAATTTCGAGTGGCGTGGCGTAATTTTCGTCGACTCCGATGCCGGATTTATTCGGATGTTGGCTCAACGAAATATGGGTCGATTCCGAAATCTATTTCAATGGAGCTGATTCCGGCAGCAAAGGTCTGGGAGGATATCGGTTCTATACATTTCAGAACAGTCTAAATATGCCGCTTATTCTGTTGGCCGTTCACTTACCAATATTTGCGTCTCATTTAGGGCGTATCAAAGCTGTGAGCATGCGACTATGCGCCTCGTTTGCATCGATATTTGAGTCGCTTTAGCCACGGCTTGGTTGACTTAGAAAAATATTCCGCATTTGATGATACTAAAGCAAGCAACAGATATGATGACATCAGCTTACGTGTAACTATTGTTACACTTTTAGGCGGAAAGAGCCGCTCTGATCAACATAATTTATCTCTTTTGTACGTGTGCTCTTTAGTACATCACTGCTTGATTACGTCATCGTACCTTCCACAACAGTGATTGACAGCCAGTTGACGGTCGTTATATCAAGAAATCGTGCTCATGGACGCCAGATATGAACGATTCGACAGTTGGACTTTTTATGGCCTTCATCCCCACTTGGCTAATGTAATGACAAAATTTGAATGACGTTATTATGACGTCATGGATGCCTAGGTGACATTGAAATTGCCTCCCCGAAATAGCATGCACATCCTTGCGGGTGTGTGTATCAGACAAAAGAGGGGTTTATATCTTAAGAGGGGCAGGGCTGTAAACTGCACTGAACAGTCTTCAAGACGGCTATTTCAGTTCAAAATTCCATAAAATGTAAAACACGCCCCTTAGCTTTCTCCGACCCCGACTCAAACGACCAAAAACGGAAACGGAAGAGATCACGAATGTTTAAGCATTCGTAAGTAACAGCACTTTTGAATCCTCTATGAAACTAAGCCGTACGTGTGGAAGTCAGTCTCGGCCGTATATTTCACTTGTACGATTTTCAGACTAATACTCGGAACAGGTTAAAGCAATTTACAACACCAGGAGCCACTCACGTGATTGTGGAATCTCTATTGTTCGTGTTTGCCGTAACTGCCAGTCCGTTCAATGAATCAGCCTCAAAATTGCGTAGGTGAAATACATGTTCTAGCGCAACATCTGCTAGTTAAGAATGGATTTTAAAAGGCTTTCGGAAGCATGAACTGCCAATCGGTCTTACGGTCTTACGCCTTACCTCGGTCTTAATCTCGGCTTACGCGTCCGCCGCCTGGTGTTGTTTGCTGCGGCTAACGCTGCCCGGCTCGACGAATACTGGAACACCGGGTGATCTTTTTTGCAGGTGATTGCAGGTGACGATTATTTTATTTCACTGGTCGATTCCGAAAAAGTATGAGACCTAAGCCCTGTTGAAAATTAAGAAGACTCCTTACGTCTCCCCGAGCAGGGGACTTCATGAGTAGGACGTTAGAGATGATGTTAGCTTTTCCAGTCGCGGGCTGAACAGTCTTTCCATCCCAGCTGGGCTACCTGCGGGCTGCTATTCTGGCGATAGGGCAGTTGGGTCTTCCAGTCAATCCATATACCCTCAGAGGGCCTCTGAGGCCCTTGTTATGGCCTACATCAGAGGCCGTCATCATGCCTTGGTCCCCTCCCCGAAGTGGGCCCTCAGACCGGGGCAGTTGGCCTTGGATGGACGCAAGAACGTATTTCGATTGGAATTTGATCGATTCACCTACGCAGAAAGTTTCTTTACCAGCGCAGAGGGTTTAATGAATTGGTACAGAACCCCATTTCAGCTTATTGGGTTCCTGGATGTAACGGGCAAAGAGCGCTGAAGTCTTGCCTGACATGAAGCCTTTCCACTGTCCCATTGCGGACCCATTCATTTGTCATTTATCACGTCTACATTCTATATCAGAGGGCACCGACCAACGTAAGAGGCCCTCTGACATTCGGGGTCCCTTTCCCGTCCCCGTTCCAGAAATGTGTCTCTGCCAACTCGCGACCCTTTCCGACACAGGAACCCCTGTTGTGTGTCGCGGGCCACTGGCCGATACGGGAGCCCCTCATTGTTTTAGACATCCCGACAAACGCAAGTGTGGTGTGTGTGTGTGTGTGTGTGTGTGTGGTGTGTGTGTGTGTGTTGTGTGTGTGTGTGTGTGTGTGTGTGTTGTGTGTGTGTGTGTGTGGTGTGTGTGTGTGTGTGTGTGTGTGTGTGTGTGTGTGTGTGTGTGTGTGTGTGTGTGTATGTGTGTGTGTGTGTGTGTGTGTGTGTGTGTGTGTGTGTGTGTGTGTGTGTGTGTGTGTGTGTGTGTGTGTGTGTGTGTGTGTGTGTGTGTGTGTGTGTGTGTGTGTGTGTGTGTGTGTGTGTGTGTGTGTGTGTGTGTGTGTGTGTGTGTGTGTGTGTGTGTGTGTGTGTGTGTGGTGTGTGTGTGTGTGTGTGTGTGTGTGTGTGTGTGTGTGTGTGTGTGTGTGTGTGTGTGAGAGAGAGAGAGAGGAGAGAGAGAGAGAGCCAGAGCCAGAGCCACATCGCTAAAAAGTAATATGCTGGGTTTTTGGTCGCCCTTGCATACAAGAGAGAGTGAACAAAGAACGTGGAATTGACTGGGTATTTGACTTGCCTGGGCATCAACTGAATGTTCAGTGCATTTCAAAACTTGAATTGAAATGGTTTGGTCCAAGATTCTGCATGCATGCTCTCAATAAGCGAGCACGCTCTCTATGGATGTCAAATCAGCGGTAGAAGTAAGCATCACGACTTTGGCCAGGCGCGGTCTGGGCGCAGAGGAAGTGATCGCACGACGTTCTCGTGGAGAATCGTGTGCCGGCTAGCCATGCCGTGGCTCGGTCCGAGCCTGGTCCAGCCCGTGGCTCGGTCCGGGCCTGGTCCGGTCCGTAGCCCGGACCGAGCCTGGTCCAGTCTGCGGCCCGGTCTGAGCCTGGTCCACCCCGTGGGTCGGGCCGAGCCTGGTCCGGTCCGTGGCCCGGACAGAGCCTGGTCCAGTCCGCGGCTCGGTCCTGGCCTGGTCCAGTCCGTGGCTCGGTCCGGGCCTGGTCCGGTCCGTGGCCCGGACAGAGCCTGGTCTAGTCCGCGGCTCGGTCCGGGCCCGGTCCGGTCCGTGGCCCGGACAGAGCCTGGTCCAGTCCGCGGCTCGGTCCGGGCCTGGTCCAGTCCGCGGCTCGGTCCGGGCCTGGTCCAGTCCGCGGCTCGGACTGAGCCTGGTCCAGCCCATCACTGACGCGGCGTCTCCGTTCCAGATGTGTCCGCCTTACTCGGAGGGCCTGGAGATGATGGACCACCTGAGTGGCGCCACGGCCACGTCCATGCCGGGCCTCGGCGGCATGGCCGACAACTCGCACCACCCGGCGCCGCTGCACCCGCCCGTCTACTCGCACCCCATCAACACCATGATGACGCACCACCAGGTGGGCCTGCACGATGCCGACACGGATCCGCGCGAGCTCGAGGCCTTCTCGGAGCGCTTCAAGCAGCGGCGCATCAAGTTGGGCGTGACGCAGGCGGACGTGGGCCGCGCGCTGGCCAACCTCAAGCTGCCCGGTGTCGGCGCGCTCTCCCAGTCGACCATCTGCCGCTTCGAGTCGCTCACGCTCAGCCACAACAACATGATCGCGCTGAAGCCGGTGCTGCAAGCCTGGCTGGAGGAGGCCGAGGCACAGGGCGCGTAACAAGCGGCGCGACCCCGAGGCACCGTCCGTACTGCCCAGCGCCGAGAAGAAGCGGAAGAGGACGTCGATCGCGGCGCCCGAGAAGCGCTCGCTGGAGGCCTACTTCAGCGTGCAGCCGCGCCCCCTCCGGCGAGAAGATCGCCGCTATCGCCGAGAAGCTCGACCTCAAGAAGAACGTGGTGCGCGTGTGGTTCTGCAACCAGCGCCAGAAGCAGAAGCGCATGAAGTTCGCCGCGCAGCACCACTGACAAACAATGAAAGCCGAGCCGGACTCGCTTGGCTTTCAAGGATACGCCTGAGGACATGCAGTCGACCGGGGCTGGCACGCCTGAGGACTGCAGCCGACCGGGGCTGGCAACGCCTGAGGACTGCAGCCGACCGCGCTGGCACGCCTGAGTGACTTCAGCCGGCCGGGGGCTGGCACGCCTGAGGACTGTAGCCGACCGGAACTGGCACGCCCGAGAACCGCAGCGAACCGAAGCGACCTAGGCGGAGGGCGCGGTCGCCGCGGTGCCCGGCCGGCGCCCAATCCGATCCGAGACGGGCGCCCGAAGCCGCCGGCGGGCGGAACGACGTCTTTTATATCTGTGAACTGTGCAATAGTCGGCTCCGCCGAGCGCTAGTCAGTCGGCGGCCGGTCGTTGGCACGCAGGGACGCCACATCGCACGTGCAGGCCAGAGCGGGCGCGCGCCACCGGCGGTCTGTCTGCCGTTCGCGACTGAGACGGCGATCTGGCTGACCGCTCCACCCGGTGGGGAAGGATGAGCGGTAGGCAGGAGGGGAATCGGGCGAAAGGCTTGTGTTTCAGCACGTCTAGTGGCTCAAGCGTGTGTCTTTTTCAGCTGATTTCCGCTAACCACGTATCTGTTTCCCTATAAATTCTGTCGTCTATCGAACCACGTCACCGTCCCTCACAGTCTGTCGTACCGATCGCACTTCCTGCCCCTGAAGGTTTGTAAAGCGTAAATAACCAAAGCAGCTGACGCGTCTTTAAAACTCAATAACTCAACGCGTAATAGCACGAGTGACATCATTGCTCAATGGTTATTACGTCATGAACTAAAGTTTAATGCCTAGAGCAGTAAACGTTTAAAATCGCGTGAACCCGCGATAGCTTGATGTGGCAGCTTCATTGGCAATGCTAAAAGTGCACCCGTTCCCTGTATAGATCGGGAATTTGTCATGTTTTACATGCTTCTTTGCATGTTCATATCCACTGTATATTTAAACTAACATTTTGACAATTGGTGGGTGGTGCTCTAAAGCAATATACTGTCGGTATTGTGGCAAAAACCGATTATGGTTTGCCCGGTGCAGGCAGGCACTGAATGTCTTTCTCCTTTTATTTTTATGAGAAACTACGTAATGCTTGTTCTAAATTGATAATCACGCATAAAAAACGAAAGCATGGTAGATTGATTAAAATTCTGTTCCATGAAAAGAAATAATTCCTGAGTTTACCTTACCTAGAACCAGCTTGAGTGAATTAAGCTTATGTTGGCTGTCGGTAGGGATCATGCTGGATTGTACATACAACCATGATGTTTCCAAAATACTCAGCTGAATACGGCGGGATTGAGACCAGGTGAAACAAACATGGACATTATTTAATATGTGGCAATGGTGTACCAAAAGGGTACCCGTGTTCACATGATTGCTACAAGCATGTGTTTTTCCTTGGCCTGAGCGTGCTTCTTTGCCCCAGCTTGCATGCAACACCCGTGTGTACCTGAATTATTGCTAGTCATATATACGTGACCTTCCAGACACATATCACTCGATGCGTTTGCACGTGGCAGACGTTAAAATGGGACGTTTGGATGAGATAGTGTTTGTCTGCTCGTGTTCATCGCAAATAGCAACTGGTCGATATCTAAATGTGATATTTGATTGTCTTCGTTGACTCTATAAACTGTATTGCATATTTGAGTTTCAAATAATCGGTACAATTATGCTTTGCTTTTTTGTCTTATGGCAATACCATGGCTGACCTTTTCAGGTGGGATGGGTGCCATAAGATGGAAATATTCGTCCGCCTGACGACTTTGTCTTAAAATAGATCGTGAGCACCCATACTTACTGCGCTACAGCACCTTGGTCACTCGTATTCAGGGCGCTAATGCGCGTAGCCTGGCTACTCGCATTCACTGCGCTGCAGTAGCCTGGTTACTTGTATTCACTGCGCTGCAGTAGCCTGGTTACCGGATAGCGGTTCGTCGACGCAGATGCATCTTCATTGGTCCGCGAACAAACCTGTCCCATAAAATACCCAAGGAAGAGGTTAAGCATTGCCGTTCATACAATTCTGCGGCACTTCCCGCAAATAGCATACATAGCTCATCCAGACGCACACACGTGCACACACACACAGACACACTCACGCCCATGCCAGCATTCCATCAGCCCGAGTTGGCAGCTGAGGGTG